TAGTATGTTATCAAAAATCTCTAAACCTTCCCCATATAGTTTTATTCGTTGAAGTTTTTAAAAATAACAGCGACTATAGTTTCGGCGTACTGCCATCATCAGGCGATGTGAAAGTTAACAGGAAAACGGTAAATTACAAACGTTGAAGACGAATAAGACGAACATGTTGTTTTTTTTAATTATTAACTGGCCGAAGCCAAGTGAAAAAACCTGAAGGGTGGTTAAAACGGAAAGGTTGTCCTAAGTTTCAAGACGAATTATTATCAAGCCTTGTTAAGACAACCAACCGGAGGGTTGAATTTTTACATTAAAGGTTGAAAGTTGGATTAACCTAAAAATGAACAAAGTTTTAGATTTAAAAATAACTTATCTAAAAGGTACTTACTTACAAATTTCAAAAGAACGGGGGGAAAAAATAAACTTATAAAAGTATTGAAACTATTAAGATGACTACATATTTAAATTATTTAAGTAAAGTTTAAATTCGAGATCATGCATGATCTTTCCCCCCGTTCTTTTGAAATGTGTTAATCCAACTTTCAACCTTTAATGTAAAAATTCAACCCCCCCGGTTGGTTGTCTTAACAAGGCTTGATAATAATTCGTTTTGAAACTTAGGACAACCTTTCCGTTTTAACCACCCTTCAGGTTTTTTCACTTGGCTTCGGCCAGTTAATAATTAAAAAAACAACATGTTCGTCTTATCCGTCTTCAACGTTTGTAATTTACCGTTTTCCTGTTAACTTTCACAGTAAGTACTAGCTCTTAATGTTTTCAAATTTGCTATATTGTGATACACTTCTATAGTCGCCTGATGATGGCAGTACGCCGAAACTATAGTCGCTGTTATTTTTAAAAACTTCAACGAATAAAACTATATGGGGAAGGTTTAGAGATTTTTGATAACATAATATATTTCAACCCCATTTCGAGGAACGATGGATCCAACTCAAAAAAAAAAAGCAAAAATAATCCTTGAATGCGTTTACAATTGACTGAGGTGTATTAAAAGTACAATCATTAAGAAACATTTTACCTGACCAAAATCGTTTAGGATCTTTGCTGATTGAGTATTCAATACTGCTAACATAATTTTTATAGGATATAGAGGACATAATTTTAATCTTAGATCGAAGTCTTTTGAATTCAGCATACGCAAAGTTACTTTTAGAGTTCTTATATTTATTGAAAAAATAATTTTTAAGCTTGAGGTTCTGTATGATTTCCGTAGTAAACCAAGGTGGGTAAGATAACTTTTTGCTAGATCTAAATTTAGGGACATGTATATCAAAAATCGAATAAAGTACACTATAACAATTTGAACAGGCAACATTAACATCACTGCACTCGTTAAGGAAGTTCCAGTTTACATTTAAAAGATCGTGGTACAACTGCGATAAATTTGCTTTTGCAAAATTATACACTTTGCAAGACGCGTTGATGGGAAATATAGCCGAAGATTTATAGGTAAGTTGTAAAGTAAAATCCAAAGCAGGGTGGTATACATCTTCCTTAATTAAAGCGAAATCATCGTGCTCAACATGGTGGCCCTATGGTGGCATGGTCCATCGTGGCTTTCTGAAGATTCAACTGTTTGGCCTATTTCTAAGGAGAGTACTCCCAGTTTACCAGAATTTAAAGTAGTGACAAAAACATATATTTCAACCTGTTCGTTGTCATTTGATTTTGACAAGTACTCCGATCTTAGTAAGATGGAGCGGATTGTGGCATACTGCCTCAGATTTAAAAATAATAGCCTTAAACCAAGGGAGGAAGGTCTCACTGGACCGTTGCGTGCTGCTGAAATTAAGGCGCATTCTTTTGTTTAATAAAAATTGCCCAAAATGTGTCATTCAGTAATGAAATCAAGCAGCTCAAACAAAGCAAACCAATAAAATCAACTATAATAGTCACATTCAAAGTTTGACCCCATTCTTGGACTCTAAGGGTCTAATACGTGTTGGAGGCCGTCTAAGTAATTCAAAATATAGGTTTGACAAATGTCATCCTGTATTAATTTGTGGAAAACATAGACTAGCTAAATTAATATTCGCACGTGAACATATACGTTTAGTGCATGCTAGACCTCAGCAAATGTTAGCCGCAATTCGCGAACGTGTTTGGGTCACTGCCGGAAGAAATATTGCCAAGCAAATAGTGCATCAATGTGTAAAATGCTTTCGCGCAGCACCAAAAGAAATAAATCCTATAATGGCCAATTTGCCTCTCGCAAGGGTACAGCCCTCATTTCCTTTTCAAACCACGGGTGTTGATTATGCTGGCCCACTACATATACGTGATCGTAAAGGCCGTGGTTTTAAGACCTCAAAGGCTTATATTTGTATTTTTATTTGTTTCGTCACGAAAGCTGTGCACATCGAACATCGAACTAGTAACTAGCTTGTGTACTGAAGCCTTTATTTTAGCACTCAGACGTTTTATTGCACGTAGGGGAAAACCCAATAATATATACTCCGACAATGGAACTTGCTTTGTTGGTGCGAAGTCAGAACTAAAGGAATTGCAAAATTTTCTCAGCGCTAGTAAAAATATTACATCTGACAAAATGAGCAATAAGGAAATTAATTGGCATTTCATACCCCCACGGTCACCCCATTTTGGCGGGTTGTGGGAGGCTAGTGTGCGCTCTTGCAAGCATCACTTAAAACGTGTAGCGGGGAATGATTCATTGACGTATGAAGAAATGTATAGTTTATTGGTTCAAATTGAGGCAATCATGAATTCTCGACCCATGTCGCCCATGCCATCTGACCCTAATGATCTTAACCCCCTTACCCCCGCTCACTTTATGATAGGAAGATCCATGGTGGCTGCTCCGGATCCAGACGTTTTGGGCATTCCAGAGGGTAGACTATCTCTTTTCCAACGGATACAACAATTAAATCAGCATTTTTGGAAGCGATGGAGTAGGGAGTACATAACTGAACTTCAGCAACGCACAAAATGGAGAGCACAAGGCAGAAATTTGGAAAAAGGTGCAATGGTGTTGGTCAAGGAGGACAATCTCCCGACGTCATTGTGGAGGATCGGCCGAGTAGTTGAAGTATATCCAGGACCTGACGGAATAAATCGAGTTGCCGTTATTAAAACAATCAACGGGAACATCAAGAGAGGATTCGCAAAAATTTGCCCGCTTCCCATATATGACAACACAACAACTTCAACCGATAGTGAAGTGATTTAAAGTTTTAGTGTTAGCAGAGGTCACAATGATCGTTCTTTTTTGTTAACAAACAACTGGGTTTTATGTTTCCAGGCCACAGGCTGCTTATAATTAGGACAAATATTAAGTTTTTCTCCAACCACCTGAATAAGACGCTATTTTGTTATACTTTTTGGTCAAAAAAATGGGCGATTTGGGGAGTCGTCAGTATCACCATGGTAACTGTCCAAAAAGTAGGTACTTTTCGGACTAGTCCGCAAAAGTAATTTGACCAATCAAAAAATTACAAATAGTTGTCATTGTCCTGTCATTCAGAACATGACTCGAGATGTCACTTTAACAAAAACCGTAAACATGTCTATTTTTATATTAAAATCAGCACTTGCACATCAACTTTCAACAAGATCGAAATAAATGTCAACTTTCTATAGGAAGCGCTGTCAAGACTTGTTTAGACGTGCAAGATTTTATTGCAGGAATGACTTGCCTGAAAGTTTTCGACTTGCTGGGCTGAGCTCTTCTAAAAAAAATGCGTTTCCGTGACTCGGAATGTTGGTGGACGACGCTGACGCGTCGTCCACCACCACTCTTCCTCGTCCCGGAAACGTGCATTTTTCGTACTTGTGAAACAAATAACTATTGTTTGCATATTATTAGAGTTAATTTGATCAATTATATTTAACTTGTTTGTTTGAAAACCGCACTGTTTTCAAGGTGGGCGGTATATGTTAAGGAAATGAATGTATAGTTTTTGTGTTCACCCTGTGTGTAACATTTTTGTCATACTGTAAATTGCCAGTTTTGTGCGGACTTTTTCTTGCGCAGGATGGAGGGAGTGGAGGAGCATGGCAATTGTAATAAAAACATGGTAGCAAGAAGGTTGTTTTAATATATTGTCACGAGAAGCCATTCGTTTTAAGCCGAAATTAACAAAATCATACAGTCCACTCA